TATTTATGTATTTGTGTATTTTGTTTCTGTTGTGAGCCGCTCCGAGGCTTCGTTGCAATGGGGGTGGCATAAAAATGTTTTAAATAAATATTATCATTGGATGGCATATTTAGATTCTCCATACAGTCTGTGAAAATCTTGGGTGCAGATCAGTTTCGTGAGAGACAGTTTGCTCTGGCCTTGTATTCATGTGCAGAAAATGCAATGGTGGAGTTAGGTTGTAGGAGCAAGTGTCAGCAGCTTCTTTACATTGGTACCTTGGCTCACGAACTTAATCCATTCCAGGACTCTGGTCGTGACCCAAATTGGTCGTGAGCCAAGTCAAATTTCCCCATAAGGTTCAATGTAAATAAGATTAATTTGTTCTGTAACTATTTTTTTTTTAATCACAAAAATTTGAAGCAGGCGTGTTCAGGGAGGGAGATGGGCACGATCGCGGGCACACTGGGGAGAAGACAGGCGCATTCGTGGGCGTGCATGGGGGGGAGGCAGGTGTGATGGGGGGGAGATGGGCGCACTCGCGATCATTACCAGATGCGGTGTTCACGACCCAAGGCAACATTTTTCAGAAATTTCTGTTCACAACCCGATTTGGTCGTGAATTGAGGCGTTTGTGAGCCAAGGTACCACTGTATTTTAAATAAATATTATTGTGAATTTTGGGAATGTCATGACAAAAATAATGATGAAAACATAAAAAGAAAAAACAGAAAACATAAAAAGAAAAAAGCAGTTTGCATTGCATAAAGGCTAGGTCTATCAGCTGCAATAAATACATATGAATTTTATGCACCTGTGTTTTATATGTATATAAGGAAACTTGCTACTATCAGTAGTTGTGTATGAGTTTCAACAAAGGCAAATGAGATACTCCTTTGTGCGTGTGTGTGGTGTGTCTAAATACTATTCAAGGGCTGAAAGAGTCAATTGATCTTCCATCCATGGTGTTATCTGGAATTGACATTTATCCATCCAGCATTTTAATATTGGTTAGCTGTTACAAGGGCATGGAAAAATCCATTTATGTTGACATTGCATTAGATTTCAAAAAGCAGTTAGATGATCAAAGAGAGCATGCAAATCCTGAAATGTTAGAGTTTACTAACACAAATTATATCTATTATTATACCCTCCTCAAAAAATGAGGTAGCTGTTGGGCACAGCCAAAACATGCGTGAAGGAAGCCTTAGCTGTATCTCCCCTCCAGCAAATAGCCAGTTTAGCCAAGCCTTTATTAAGGAGACATTATGGAATTCAATATACATGGAGCAGAAAATTTGTTGGATAACACACAACTTAAGATCGATTGACGCTTAGCATTCCATAGGTTAGATGAAATAAGGCAGTCTATCTAATTCACTATTCCATTCTCTCTTAAGACCCTATGCATCATATTTCTCCACTAACATTATTTGTACAACCACATTCTTAAGACCCTGTGCAGCATATTTCTCCACTAACATTTGTACAACCATGTTATTATTTTATTTCTATACCACTCAATAGCTGAAGTTCTCTGGCCAGTTTACACCAACAGATAAAATATACAATACAGTGAACAATAACAACATAAAAATACAGTACAAAATTTAAAAGCCAAATCTATAACCCATTTAACAAGCTACAACAGTTTATATAGATGAAATATAAAGGTCTGTTTAAGCAGCTGACACAAACTCTAATATAATATTAAACTAATTAAATACCATGTGGTGAAGGATTGTTTTATCCTGGTGCCAAAAAGATATTGGAGTTGGTTCCAGGCAGACCTCAGTGAGGAACTTGTTGCCACCAACTTGAATGTGGAAGGCCAGATTTTGAGTCTGGGTAGATTGTGGTTGGGAGAGGTGTTCTGTTTTATACTGTAGTCCCAAGCCATGTGGAGCTTTATGGGTCAAGACCAGCACCTTGAATTGGGCTCAGAAGTATATAGACAGCCGCTGCAAGTGGGCCAGAACTGGTGTTGTGTTCAGAACTTCTTATCACTGTTACAAATCTAGCTGCTGCATTTTGCACAAGCTGCAGCCTTGAAACTGTCTTCAAAGGCAGCCTCATGAGGACTGTATTGTAGTAATCAAGTTTAGAGATTTCCAAAGAATAGCTTTCTGAAATCCGGCACTTTGTCCATAGGGCATAGTTGAACCACCATCCCAAGTTGATAGAAGTCACTCCATGCCACCAAAGTCACCTGGACCTCAAGTGACAAAGAAGGTTCAAGGAATACCCACAGTATACAAATCTGCTCCTTCAGGGACAGTGTGACCCCCATCCTAGGATATATGAATTCATTCTACCATACCAGTGTTTCCTTACTTATTTTTAAATCTGGATTACCTCATGAGATTCATTTGTGTAGGGAAATGGATGAATCTGCAAAAACTGTGCAGTTGTATGCCATACTTCTTTTGCTGCTGCAACTGCAGGAGGTATCAGTATATCTACTGGATTACTGTAACACTCTCTGTGTGGGGCTGCCCTTGAAGACAGTCTGGATACTTCAATTGGTTCAAAATAGAGCTGCCAGGATGTTAACGGGGACTGGCCAGTTTTCACATGTAACACTGGTCTCCTACCAGTTACACTGGCTACCAATTGAAGTCCGGCCCCAATTTAAGGTGCTAGTGATGACCCATAAAGCCCTAAATGGCTTGGGACCTGGATATCTAAAGGAACGCTTGCGCCCATATATGCCCTCCCACCCCTTGAGATCAGCAACGGATGCCCTTCTCCGGGAACCCTCTGTGAATGATATTAGGAGGGAGAGTACCCGGAGGAGGGCTTTCTCTGCGGTGGCGCCCCATCTATGGAATGCGCTCCCCAGAGAGGTCTGCCTGGCGCCGTCGTTATTTGTTTTTCGGCACCAGGCTAAGACCTTTTTATTTAAAACTTATTTTAATTGCTAAATTATTGAATTAATTAGGATTTTAAAATTAGCCGAGAATGCACCGGGGGTTTTTAAATGTTTTTTTCTTTTAAATTGTTATATTATTTTTATTTATGTATGTTTTTATGTATTTTTTGTGAGCCGCCCCGAGGCTTCATTGCGATGGGGGCAGCATAGAAATGTTTTAAATAAATAAATAAATAATAAATAAAATAGTCAATAACAATTTAGAATGTGTATTGCTGACAAAAAGATGCACAGCAGGGATCTCTTTAGCTTATACAGTGGAATCTTTAGATCTAAGGCCTGTTGATTTCATATTTTTGTTCTCTTACTATAGAAATTAACAAATTATACATGGATATCCAGGTGTATTTTGTATTTTAGTGTCAATCTCTTTAAACTTTCTTGGCACTATCTTTTATTGGCTTTTGTCATATTTTTAGCAGTTTTTTATATTAAACAGGAGACAGCTTGAGTTTGCACTGAGGAAAAATCCTTGTGGATGCATGCAAGCCCTCATATGTGCCTATAATGAGGCATAAATATGGGCAGTAAGGGCAGCAAATAAAAGATTCTCCCTGCCCATATTCAGTCTTCCATTTGCCAACCAGCAGAACTCTTTAGTGTCATCTAGTACCTGTTGTGTGTTGGCCCCAAGGATATCCTAGGGTACTCTGTCAGTGTCCCCTAAATGATGGAATGATCTCCTCCCTGAGCCCTGCCTGGTGTCAACTGTGTAAACGTTTCTGCATCTGTTAAAACTATGCTCTATTCCAAGGCATTTAAAGATTTATTTATTTATTTATTTATTTAAAATATTTATATCCCGTCCTTTACGCAGAGCATCTCAGGATGGCTTACAGAAATCAAAACAAGCAATCCATAATCAAAACAACAATTAACAATATTAAGAATATACATAAAACCAACAGTAACATATCACAAATGAAAACTAAGTCAAAAACAAAATCAAGATCAAAAACAAAAATAAGACTTTGGAAAGTTAAAAACCAGATTAAAATTCCTAGTTCTTAAAATGGTGGGCAAATAAAAAGGTTTCCATTTAAACACTTAGTTCAGGTTTTTTCATGAGTTTATTCTGTATTAAATATTTTAGGAGTATATTATTTAAGATTTAAATTTTATGCTTTGAACTAATTTTATGGTTTTATTGTATTGTGGTCTTGTTTTAGGAATTGTAAACTGCTCAGAGAGCTTTGGCTATTGGGCAGTATAGAAATGAAATAATAGTTTGTTCTAAGATCTTTTTTAATTTGTTATTAAACTGGCTTAATTTGCAGTGTGAATATCATTTTATCCCTTTGTTAAGCTTTGATAAAACTTTTGATTCATCCCTCTCTGGGATAGATAATGGTATAATCACCTGAGGTATTTTCTAAGAACAACCATATATACAACATTGTTTAAATGATGGTGTAAAGGAAAATTAAGATAATTGAAATTAAGAATTGATTAGATAATTGAGTTAATTTGACATGTTACCCGAAGTGTTAAATTACTGCAGTTAAGTCCAAGCAATAGCATGAGCCTGTTGAATGAGAGCAAGAGTTTAAAAAAAGTTATGACTTAGAAGACTCCCATTTGCTGAGGAGCAGTGAGATGCTCTCGCTGCTGAACATTATCTTCCACTCTGTGTGCACACACATGCACCCACTTCTGACCTGAAGTACACAGTGGTCTTACTGGATATTTAGAAGGGTGCATTGTTGTACTTGGTAAAACTTAACTTTCCTCTGCTTGGAAAAAGCACACTTTTACCTGGAATTGAGGCATGTATATTATACTTACTACATGTTAAAAGCATGACATTTTATTAAGAATCATTTATACTATATGCAAACTCATATCTGAGGTCTGAAATGACTCTAGCAGTAAACCTACTGCATAGAAAAAAGTAATTGAGATTCTGACAGAGCCACATTCTCAAAATGCATGGGGTTAAAACCACAAACTTTAATTTCTTTGGGTGTAATCTTTCCTAAAGGTGGTGAGGTAGAATTATTAGTGCAATGCCAAATGTGTATGTAAAAGTATTGCTAGCTATAGACATTTGAATTTACATATTTTCAAATATTATTTAATTGCTTTTCAGCTGACATAGCTCAAAGGTACAGGATAAGCAAATACCCAACCTTAAAATTGTTCAGGAATGGAATGATGATGAAGAGAGAGTATCGGGGTCAGAGATCAGTGACAGCAATAGCAGATTATATCCGACAACAGAAAAGTAATCCTATTCAAGAAGTACTCAGCTTGGAAGAAATTAACTCTCTTGATGTGAGTCTCTATCTGTGATTGTGTTGTATTGAATCAAAGTAATTTGGGGAATGCATATTTGCAACTTGTAAAGTTCTATATGTTTTCATATTTAGTATAAGTAGTTACATAAATGCTTCGTATTTAGAGTTACTGACTTCAATTTTATGGCTTTCTTGATAAAGTCACCAAATGTAGTATGGTAATTTTAGAGCTGCCATTTTAGAGTCCTAGATTTAAATATGCCTGGCTATTTAAATATATCTTTATGCCTGTGCTGTTGTTTTTTTTCATTCTATTTTATCCTTTTAAATAGTTCTATTCTGTTTGGTTTTTACCTGTTTGCTTTGCATTTTAGTCATTTAACTGTTTGTGTCAAATCTGCCCAGGGATGATTGATTGCATTAAAAATATTAATGACACTAGTATCAGTAACTGATAACACGTTTGACCCCGTGAAGAGGTTCTTAATATTCATTGAAATTGTATAACATCCAGAATGTTTTTGTAACCCTTGCTGCCTCTCTGATATGTGATCAAAAAATGGCATTGTCCTTCACCTCTTGCAAAGACTTGTAGGATAAATGTCTGATTAGTTTTTCTGATGGATGACTTAAAATCCCTTATGTATGTTTTGTGTATTACAGCGTAGTAGAAGAAATATTATTGGATACTTTGAACAAAAAGACTCTGATAATTACAGAACCTTTGAAAAAGTAGCAAATATTTTGCACGATGACTGTGTCTTTATTGCTGCATTTGGGTAAGATATTTTTTTAAATACAAGAATTGACAAGGATAGCCATACGCTGTTGTATTAGCTGGCAGTGATACAGGGAGCCCACATTTATGAATATATGATTTCGACTGTATTTCTCTCTAGTACCCTTCCATCAGAAAACCTACCATTTGGGACCTTGGTCTCCAGAATCTGAGGGGTTTTTTGTGGTGGGGGAGATTGAGCTACCTTTGCAGCCCTGAAATGATCTGGACAGGTCCCCAACCCTTTTCAATCAGTATGTCATGGGTGCTCTCAGAAAATCACTGTCATGGGGCAGTTTGTCTATATATAAAAATAGCTGCCATGCGGAGTGGGGGGCAGTGTCATGGCCTATCACAAAGTGCTCATTTGTCCAGAAGGCTGGTGAGGCTAAAGGAAAAGTAAGTTTCCCAATGGGTAGGTGGGGTCTGAGTGCCAAAACACTAAGCCACTCCTTTAAATTCAAATAAAGGGGCTGGAAGGTTCTGTTTTCCTTTGCAGTTTAAAAAGGTGTAATTAAAAAAAACTTAAGGGATAAAGTAGAAATTGGTCAAGCAGGAAACCTTGATGACCCAAAGGGAGGTGTTTGCTGGTACATTGCTGCCCATAGGCACCACACAGGGCATCTCAGAGGTCTCCTTTGCCCTTTATTTGTAATTTCCTCACACATGTTCATTCACTCTGCCATAGAAAAATAACCATATAATAGTTCTAGGTGGAGATTGGAAAGATTCAAACAGTGGGTATAATAATCTCCTGCTACCCCAGCTACAATTCTTCTGCTTTTGTAAGTGTGTTGTTGAACTAACTAGCAAAACAAATGGTCACTGTCTTCTTAGGTCAGTTTCCAAACCAGAACGTTTTAGTGGAGACAACATAATCTACAAGCCACCAGGGGTGAGTTACTTTTTTCTTTCCTATCCCTTCTATTTGACACAGCCTTTAGGTAGCCCCAGATTTTAGTTTTATAGTTGAGATGTATTCATAATTCTATTGGATATGAGTATTGGAGTGAGCAAAGGAGTATAGCCCTCATAGTGGGTTGGGGGAAATTAACCGCTCAGTCCTGTGCTGCAACCTCAAAGCAATTTTTCTGTGTTGCAATTTTTCTCTTCCCCCAGAGATCCTAGGGATCCTGGAGATTGAAACTGGGACTTTATTTATGCAAAACTTTTGCTCCACCACCAAAGTATGTTTTCTCCCTAATAATGTGTAACCAGCATAGAATCTGGGGTGAAATACAGTATTTCAGAAGCAAACATTTACTCTTGCATTGTGCTTTTCCCTCTGCTTCCCATGCAGTCCTTACAGCTCCTAAAGTCTACTAGAGAATTTAAGGATCTGCAGGAGGTTACAGGGTGACAGTGACTGTTCCCTTCCCTGTGCAGCTAAAAGAAGCCATTTGCTTGGTGAGGGAGGATACTTGGGCACTGTGGTGTTAAAACTTAAAAAAAAATTCATATAACAATTTGGATTATGCATTAATTCTGGAATTACTGAGAAACAAAATAAGATTGGATGAATTGGTGGGATATTACGTATTTTGGTGTTTGCAAAACCTTCATATTGCTATAAAATGAGATTCTTTGGGTGTATTATAGTTTTGCACTGCTCTTGATTTTATAGTTTTCATAACAGTTGTAAAAACTCATGAAATGTTGCAAATGTTGCAAAATTGGCCATTTAATATTCTGAAAAGGTCCACTAACATTATAGTTGTTACACTACTTTTGGATTTGAAACTTGGAAGTAATAGCAAGTAGTATGCACATAAATAGCAGCCTTGCACATCCCTAGGGACGAAATAGGCGGAGAGATTATGTGTCTTAATAAAATGTGTATTTCTTTGGGAAAAGCTGGAAAATACAAAGAATTAACATTGAATTTACTTTGCAATTGTCATATCGATTATCCAGGTAAGTCAAAAAATGTACCTTTTTAAAAAGTCAAAACTCACAGTATCCATGCCTCAGATTTCATTTTAACACAGCCCGTGTTAGCAGCCAGTGATGAGCTCTCTCCTGTCCAGCTTATACAGTCTACATGTTACTGCTCTATGATGTGTCAGCTTTATACTGTGTTTCCATGGTCACTTCTCGGTGCTACTGGCTATTGTTAGCAGGATAGGGGAATCTTGCAACCTACCTGTTAAGGCATGAATGGAGAGCTATTGAGAGAAGGTGTTGGGTTCTGTGACATCCTTGTTGTAGGACTAACATACATCCTGGCTCTCAGTCACACTTCAGTGATACACATTCTCTTGTGTATTTACTTACAAATAATTTGGAATCCCTATTTTAATAGGAAAATGCTCCAGATATGGTTTACTTGGGATCTATGACCAATTTCGACTTGGCTTATGCATGGACTCAAGATAAATGTGTTCCTCTTGTTCGTGAAATTACATTTGAGAATGGAGAGGTAAGGAGTGCCTGAGTCTTCAATCTCTCTATATATTTAAGTTATAAACTGTTATAAATGCAAATATGCTTGAATTACTCAAAGCCAGCTTTCAGAGATACCTCATTTCCTTTGTAAATTTTTAGCTGTGAATTTCAAAAGTCTCTGCTTATGTTCTTTCAATAGATTGTAGATTGTTTTGACAGTGTAGTGATATGTATTTTAATAAAATACATTATATACCCCTACTATAGGAGTATATGGTTCAAGCAATGCAACATTTGCCATTTTCTGTGGTTGCAGCAGTAATGAATGAGTAGACATGTGATCAACTGGTAAAAGGATATCCATGTCTTGAGGAAGAGGAAATAAAGTTATCAGTGTTTATAGCAGGAAATGTTTCCTTCCACAGATCATAAACTAGTAAATGCTAGGGGATAGACATTGAGTACAAGTAGTATTTTCCTCCTCTTACCCGGTAGGTAGGTAAAGAGCAGGCTGCTCAAAACATTTATATTGTAATCTTTGCTTTAGCATTTCTGTATGTAATGAATGGGTGAGGGCCCTGATCCAGTAAGTTCTATGTACACATTCCTGTTGGGTTCAATTACATTTACTTCTAAGTTTGCGCACAGGAATGTGGCTTCAAAGTACCTTGGAGATCTCTCTCCTGTTTCTTTGCCATCATTTAACTGCTTTATAGCACTTTGCAAACATAGAAACAGAGCAAGTCTGAAGGGGCCTCCCGGGCCATCTAGTTTGACCCCTGTTTTCAGCTGGCTCTGCTCACGATATGCCCACCATGTGCCTATCCAGTCTGTCTTTGAACATCCTCACCGATGGGGCCTCAACCAGCTCCCAGGGAAGCCCATTCCACACCCTTGGGGTCCAAACTGTCAGGAAGTGCTTCCTGGCATCTAAATGGAACCTTGGTTCCCTGAGCATTGCTCCATTGGAGCGTGTCCTGCCTTCCTCTGCAGGAGAGAACAGGTCTCCATCCATCTCCGTGTGACATCCCCTCACATACCTGTATGTCACCGACAGATCCCCTCTGAGTCTCCTCTTCTCCAGGCTGAAGAGAACCAGTTCCCTCAGTCTCGCCTCATACGGCATCCCCTGCAAACCGGCCACCAACTAGGTGGCCCTGCGCTGCACTGCCTCTAACCTGGCTATATCCTTACTGTAATGAGGGGCCCAAAACTGAGCATAATACTCCAGTTGCGGGCGCACCAGAATCGTATAGAGTGGTAGTAATACCTCTCTCGATCTAGAAGCCACACTTCTGGCTATGCAACCAAGGGTGGCATTCACCCTCTTAACCACCACATCACACTGCTGACTCATGTTTAGCCTGCAGTCAACCAACACCCCGAGGTCCCTTTCACAAGTGCTGCTCTCCAGCCACTTATCACCTAACCTGTACTTATGACACCCATTCCTATGCCCCAAGTGCAAGACCTTTTACTTATCCACATTGAATGCCATCCTGTTGTCTCTTGCCCACTTCTATAGACTGTCCAGATCCTTTTGGATCTGAAGTACCTGCTCCTCAGTTGTGGCCACTGCCCCAGTTTCAGTATCGTGTGCAAATTTGATCAGCAGACTGATCACCCCTTCTTCCATGTCATTGATGAAAAGATTAAACAGGATTGACCCCAGAACAGAGCCCTGGGGGACTCTGCTTGTCACTGGCCACCATCCAAATGTTTCCCCACTAATGGTTACCCTCTGCTTCCGGTCAGTCAAACATGCCCTAATCCACCAGACAGTGCTTTGGTCTATCCCAAAACTCCTTAGTTTCTCAACCAGGATATCATGGGGCACTTTGTCAAAGGCCTTGCTGAAATCCAGGTAAACCACATCCACTGCATCCCCTCCATCTAGCCATCTTGAAACCTTGTCATAGAATTCCACAAGGTTTGTCTGGCAGGACCTGTTTTTGTGGAAGCCATGTTGTGTGACTGCCAGCCTCCCTTCCCTATCTAGCATCACTAGATTTCTTGCTATTACGAGCCTTTCCATTGTTTTTCCTACAATGGACATAAGGCTAACTGGTCTGTAATTCCCAATGTCCCTTCTGTTACCCTTTTTGAAAATTGGGACCACTGATGCCACCCTCCAGTCCTCTGGAACTTCACCCGTTCTCCATGAGGCCTCAAAAATGGAGGCCAGCTGACGTGAGAGAACCCCTGCCAACTTTCTAAGTACTCTTGGGTGTAACCCGTCAGGGCCTGGCACCTTTGCAATGTTCAATGCCCCGAGGAGTCCCTCAACTTCTAGGGGGGTGACTCTAATCTGTGCCCCTAAGTCCCCAGCCTCATCTAATCTCCTATGCGGATATCCCCCATCCTGCTTTGGGGAGAACATCGTGGCAACATAGTCATTTAGCATCTGTGCCTGTTCCCTCAAATCAGTCACTGGATCTCCTTCCTCCTTATTTAGTGGTCCCACTACTTGTCTCCCCTTCTTCTTGCTATTTTCCTGCTGAAAGAAGCCCTTTTTGTTGCTCTTGATATTCTTGGCAAGTCTCAGCTCGTAATCAGCCTTAGCCTTGTGAAGAATCCTTCTGCAATGGGCCTCCTTCTCCCGGTATACCTTTTTGTCTATTTGCCTCAGTACCCATTTCCTGTGGAGGTTCCTCTTGCGTCTAATCCCTCTAACCACCTCCTTTCGCATTCATGGTGGTGCTCTCCTTCGCCTCCCCACTCTACTACTAACTAGAGGTATCGTCAAAGCTTGCGCCTTCCAATCTTCCCTTTTGAGTGGCATCTACCCTTCCTCAACTCCAGTAACCTATCCAAGGAGACTTTCCCAGTCAGGCCTTCAATTGGCCAAAGTTGGCCCTCTTGAAGTCCCAGCTTCTAGTGCTCGACCTGCTGCACTTCCCCGTTCCCCTGATCAAAGCAAAGGATGGAGTGATCACTCACATCCAGAGCTCTCCTAATCTGTACTTCATCTATCAGCTCCTCCCTTTTGGTCAAGACCATGTCAAGGATGTTCCCCCCCCCCCGTCGCCTCTTGGACCCTCTGTGTGAAAAACCCTCCCTCTATAGCTTCTAGGAAGCAAGGTGATCTGGCTGTCACCGCTGAGTGAGTCTCCCAACTAACATTGGGGAGATTGAAATCTCCCATAATTACTGTGAGTTATCAGAATCTGGCCTGTCATGACATCATCCAGGGTCTCAAGTTGACCTGGAGGGTGATAGCATACCCCCACTGTCAGGTCTCTTTCCCTGTCAAAACCCCTAAGTTTCACCCAGGCTGCCTCTACCAAGTCCACTTCTGTGCTGCATTCTATCTCACTGCATCCTATCCCTCCCCTGACATATAAAGCTCTGCCCCCACCCCTCTTTCCCTTCCTGTCCTTTCTAAAAAGGTGATACCCCTCTGTGTTTACATTCCAGTCTTGCCTTTCATCCCACCAAGTTTCTGTGATCCCCACCAGGTCATACCCTCCAATCATCTCTGTTGAATTTCATCTGCTCCTTAGTTTCCCATTGCCAATGTTTTACTGTGCTTTGTATTGTGCTTCATCAAAAGAAACACAGATAATTGAGTTCCTTATGTTGATAGCTGTAATTGAGGTTGTTGCAATATAAAAATCCTAGAAAGCAAATGAGTCCTTTCAAAAATACTATCACAAGAGGCTCTCAGCAGTTTTCGTTGAGTATGTAAGTATACAAAATTAATTTGCACAAGAGAAACAAAACTACATATTCTTTGAAACCTTCCATCAACAGCATTAAAACAGTTTTTTTTATTCATTTGCATTTTGCTACGTGAAAGATGCCAGGTATTTAGCCTTTTTAGAGCTTCATGATGCATTCAGTGTACTTTTCCCACAGTACAGTCAAGCTCTTGAGCCTTAGAAACCACCACTTATCATTATAAGTGTGTGTAAAGTTCTGTAACTGCTCTTACTACACTCTGCTTCTGTTTACTTAACCAAACTCTTTCAATCTGGGGTCATTCCAAATGTGCATTTGTCCTAGCAACATTTGTTTTGCAGGCTTCGAGCTTCCCTTGTCCATATAACTCTAGCACTTCCAGAAGTTTGATATTTCTGTCTGCTTTGAAGATTTTACATTTTTGCTGTGTTTATGGTTTATAACCTGATTCATTTAAAACATTTGAATTTTTCAATCCGTGGTTTAGAATGGCAAAAAAAGTATTTTGACCATTAGTTTGAATTCAAGTCTAGAAATAGAGGTTTTCATGTTTCTGCATCTGAATTATACCATGTCAAACTACTGGTCAGCCTAGCCTATTACTGTCTAGATCAGCTTTCCTCCAACCTGGAGCCTTTCACATGTATTGGGTTTCAAGTCCCATCAGTCCAAACCAGCATAACAGAAAACCAGGAACTCTGGGAGTTGTGGTCCAAAAAATCTGGAGGATACCAGATCGGAGCAGATAGATGAACTTTGTTTGACAGGTCTTGGATTTTTTTTTGTACGTTTCGAGTGAGTTCTCTTACTGGAAATGCCAGAAATTAAATCTGGCATACTTAAAATACATACAAATTTTACTGCTGAAGGGATAACCTCTCTCTAAAAGCAGTTTTCTATTTTTGACCATTAGTGTCATTAAACTACTTGTATGGAGAGAGTGGGATTGTTCATGGCAGGGAGGTAAGATGAGCAGACCCTTCTGCTTACTAATTTATCCCCACAGCCTCCTGCCACAATCAGAAATCTTTATTTTTCATAAGCAAAAGAAATTAGGAGGTGCTTGAACTGGCAGCTGCTATGGCCTTGATTTGGATTCACAACTGCCGGTTGTTGACCTCCAACATGAAAATCTTAAATGTGTATATATCTTTCTCTGCCCACCTCCTTAAGCGAAAACCAAGTTACTGTTGTATACATACATAATTCTTGTTGCTGTATTTAGTGTTATATAGTGTTAATGTTATTGCAGTGGAAAGCTTGCTTCTAGAGAAAACAACCAGGAAAAAAAATGGAAAAATTGGGAAATCGAGTTTTTCTGAAGAAAAAAAGAACCACCCTGGGGGTGTGGGG